ACCTCCCCTGGCTCACACCACAATCCCCTTTGCATCTGGGGCCTCCTCAATCAAGAACTATTCCTGCCTAAGAGGAGGAGGAGTCAATGTCTCACACCTACCCCCTTCTTCAGGGAATAATCCATGTAGGTGTGCTCTAGACCGGGGGTCATTCCTAATGGGGCTTGTCCTTTCGTGGCATCCCAGAAGCTGAGTTTGTGATCAGGTATGGCCTATGGGAAGCCCCCCAAGGCTCCCTGGTCTGGACATGGCCCACTGGACTGGTCCAAGCAACTTATACTTGGTCTCACTTTCTCTACCTGCAAGCTCCCTCTCTTGACCTGAGGAGACAGGCGTCATGGAGAGACTGCAAACACAAGAGCTCAGAAAGAGAATTACAGATGCTGGTTTTGTATACAAAACAACTTTATTAAAAATTCAGCAATTTGAAAAACAAAGCCTTCACAAGCATTCTATCAAAAAGTACAAATTTTAAATAAATGAGTCAGAAAAGAGGCAGCCAGATCCACCAGCCACAGTCACAACCCTGGGGCAAGGGAGGAGGTGCCCAGAGCCCCCCAGGAAGGCTGGGCACAGGGCTCTTTGGATGTGTGCAGGGCCAAGTCCTGGAGCTACCAGGCAAAGGCCCTGACTCAGTTTTCCTTTCCTTGGAAAACCAGAAAGAATCTGGAAAGTGCAGGAAATTCTGAGTCTGAAGCAGAAAGGCACAAAAGTCATTTGTAAGGCACGAATGCTGACTGCAGCCTGAGGCACGGGGAGTAGATGAATGGGTGATCAGAGCCCAGGATCCCCGGCTCTGGTCATTCTCCTGACTGGTGTCACCTCTAGGTTTGGCCGCAGGTTAAGGTAGATCAAGTGGACGGCACGGTCCCTGCAACCAGGGGCCCGGAGCCAGTCTTTAGAACAGATGTGTTGCTTCGCTGGCAAACTGGTGTCTAGCCCCGGCCAGGGCAAGAAAGGTCACATGGCCCCTAAGAAATCCCCCCGGTGGGGAGCACCAGGCTTCCTGTCCAACCAACCCTGTACTCTGAGCCACTGTGGGCACCCACCCTGGACAAGGAACTTCTGAGGGCAGTGCTGCCTGGATAGGCATCTGGAGAAGCCCCAAGTCCCCAGGGCTAGGGTTTCTCTAAATGGCAGGTAGCTGGCATTGTGAACACCAGTCCCCAACAGCCGCCGGCCCATACCCACGGTCACTGGTGACAGGCCTCCCTGGTGACGTTAGGCAGCGGGTAGGCAAAGAGGGAGAAGTCTAGGATATACTTCGGCAGCACATCCTGCAGGAGGGCCCGCGGGGCGCTGCACAAGTGGTAGTGCAGGCTCTCGGGGCTGGCCGGCCGGTACCAGGCCTGGCGCGCGGGGAATCGTATGTGGGGTGGTGCCCGCACCCACTCCAGCACCTGGTTGGCATCAGCCTCCAGCCTCTCATAGGAGCCTACAAAGTCATAGTGCACCGCACAAGGCTGGCACAGGTGGTACACCGGCATCCAGTGCTCATTCATCCGCTCAGGGTCCTCGTCCACCAGGTATCTCAGGAATTCGGGGAAGGTGACATCGTCCCCGGCAGGGCTGGGCCCCGCGCCTGCCCTGTACCGCCTCACGATCTCAGCCCCGTAGCGCTGCTGGTACTCTCGGATTTCGCCAAACTTGTTGCGGTAGGCAGACAGAAGGCGCTCCAAGGGGTTCCGCACAAACAGGAACTTGAAGTAGTGCTGTAAGCGGTAGCGAATCTCCTCGGGCCGCAGGTCTGCCAGGAACACCAGGTCATTGCGGTGGTCCATCTTGAGGCGCACGTCCACGTTGTCCAGGACGCCCGCCAGCACCTTCAGCACCCGCTTCCAGTTCGAGCAGGCCACCTTGGGGACGTAGCAGTAGAGGAAGCGGTAGCGGTCACTCACGAGGATGTGGCGCAGTAGGGTGCGCCGCTGCCCCACGGGCAAGTCCCAAGGGTCCCGGGGCATGCCCGGTTGTCCGCACACGGCCCGCAGGGTCCGGTTCCGGACGTCCTGCCTCACCTGCAAGTCCGGGTCCCCGGCCTCCAGGGACAGCCCCCCAGGCCTGGGGAGGGCCCGGCGCCAGGCCGCGCCCTCGCGGTTGGGAGGGTGCAGAGGAAGGGGCTTCATCTCGGCCAGGATGCCCCGCTCGATCATGAGCAGCAGCCCGCTGGAGGCCACGATCACCGCGAACATCAGCATGGACGGCAGCAGCAGGGGCGGCCCCCCCATCCCGGCCCGGGCCCTGCCCAGCGGGGCCCGCCTCAGCGCCCGGCCCAGGGGCTCGGCGCCATTTGGGGCCGCCAGGGGGGTCAGCGGGCGGGGGAACATGGTGCTCCCGGGGTGGGGGCCTGCGCCGGCCCGGCGGGTCGGAGGGCGGCCCGGGAGGCGGGCCCGGGCTGGGGGCGGGAGCCGGGGGCTTGGGCCCGCAGCTGCCGGGAGGACTCGGGGAGCAGTTCGCGGGCGGCAGGCTCCGGCGCGCGCGGGGGTGGCAGGCTCCCGGACTGCGGCGCCGGAGCGGGCGGCGGGCGGGCGGGCGCGGCGAGGGACCGTGGCCGGATGTCCCGCCCGGCAGCTCCCCGCCCCCGGCCCCGCCGTGACACAGGCTGGGGGGCGGGCCCAGGCCGGGGGCGGGGAGAGGGGCGGGCGCCCCTGCACCGAGCGGGTTCGGAGGGCGCGTGCAGACCCCCACCCGGGAGAGGGCGCCGGAGCCAGGGCCGCCCTGGTGCTCCGGGCTTCGGAGACAAAAGCTGCCGAGGCCCGAAAGGCAAAAGAGACCCAGGCCACGGCTCCCTCTCGCGCAGCGCGTGCCCTCGGGGAGCTGGACGGAGAGGACCTGCACCCAACGCCCTGCCGCACACTCTGGCCTGGCTGAGACCTTCCTCCAACGGCGCGTCTGGAGGCAGAGGGCACCCGCAGCGCTGTGCGCTGAGTCCAAGCTTGCGGGAAATCCTTCTTCTTTCTCGCTGGAAGCAGAGTCCCCCGTGTGCTCCCCCCACCCACCCTGCCCTAGCCACTCCAGTAAAGAGGAGCAAGACTGCCAAGCACTGACCAGTGGCTCATCTCCATGGTGACCGTTAGATTTAACAGTACCTGGTGGATTACCGTGTTCATCCACTGGGTAATGATGAAATGTCTGGAAATGGAGTCTTCTCCCCTCCTGTCTTTCCTCCCCCAGGCCTGAAGAGGTGGGATAACTGGGACGCTCTGGTGAGGGGCCGATGACAAGTCGGTGCCTGGTGATCACTAGTGTGATCAGCACACATCTTGAAGGGTGAGGAGCTGGGGCGCACAAGGCAGCAGCCTCCCTGCCTGGAGCCAAGCATGCGCTCAATGGCACCAGGTGGACCATGTGGGCTACAGGCAGATAGGGGAATGCCTAGGAGAGCAGGGGCCAGCCTTTCCCCACGTGAACTGAGTACCTCGCCAAGGGTCCAGACTTCATCCTGTTAGGTATGTATGCGTGGGGAGCCAGTGGAGCTCTGAAGGGGAGTAGTGATGTGATCAGAGTCCACATTTACCAAGGCAGGTGCCTGCTCAGTGTTTGGTATTCTCTTTCAGTTGTCAGAGGCGCCCTGGGAGGCAGGTACTACAGGCCTTCCCACTGCACAGCCGAGGAAATCGAGGCTCAGGGAAGCTGAGACTCTATATGGGTCAGTCTGATTTTTAAACCTACATCCCTAATGGCGATCCTTCAGAGATCAACGGACCACAAACGTGGAATGGTTGGGAGGAAGCAGCCAATCCCAGGTTATAGTACTAAAGGGCTGAATGGAACAGGAGTAGATGATGCCAGAGGCTTTGAGTTTAGTGGGAGAATGAGGTACCACTGATCAGATGAATTCAGAAGCATGAGGAGTCCCCGGGGGGTGAGATGAAGCTAGAGGGCTCACGGATGGCCCACGATCCCTAGCAATGTGAAGAGCACACAGGATGAGGGCGGGGAAGGAGTGGGAAGCCTGCTGGCTTTCCGGCTTCTCAGTGGGCTCCCAACGTCTCACTGCCTGATTGGTGGGGTGCATCTCAGGATGCACCATCCGCTGATTTCTAAGTTTGCCTCAGGTTCGGCCTTCACTGAACTGCTCCTCGCTTCCAGTAGCACTGAATGTAGATTTCTGGTGCTGGGATTATTTTCTACTGGAATCGGTTTTTTTTTTTTAAACAATAAATTAGAAGGGAAAAAAACAAAACCTTTGAAACATCTGGATAATTTGGCCAACATGGGCTCATTCCTCCAAAGAGACTTCTGTGTTAGCAGTCACAGCAAAGCAGTCGGAGTACAGGAATAGCCACTTAGTTTGGGGGCGTCCCTGGGCAAGGCACTTGTCTCCACACCATTTCTATCTGTAGAATGATAGGCCACTATCCACTTCATGGGACTCTTGTGGGCAGCGCACTGGTGGCAGTGGTCTGGTCAGTCTGTGCCACGAGCACCCTCTATCGAAATGCACCTGCCCCGATGTCCGTACCAGAACAAAGGGGGGGCAGCTATGCTTTGCCCCCTAGGAATCCCCATGACCACAAAGCTTGCTCCACATGGAGTATGGTCAGCTCTGAGACTGGGCTGAACCAGGGTCCAGGCAGCCACAAACTCTGGGCCTCTGATGTGACCTTCATTCCCTCAGCAAGGAGGGCCAGACTAGACCCTGAGGCCCTAGGGCAGCTTCTGCTGGCTGGTTCCCCAAGGACATGACCCAAGGTGATGAGGTGCTATCTACTCTCTGCACCTATGTGGGGACCAGTTCCCAGGTTACTGGCCAGGGGAAGGCTGGCCACCCAAGGATTTCACATTGTCCAGGCAGGTAGCTCTGGCCGCCATGAGGCCGAGAAGCTCTCATCCCCCTCGTCTCCCTTCCTCCATCTGCTCTCCCCCTACTTTCCTGCCCTATTTATTGGCCTTAGCCCCTACACTGCAAGAGCTAAGAGGGACCCCCAAAATAAAGAGTGGTGAGCCCCTCTGCACATACACTCCCCCAAAGCCCCCACAAAGATGACAGGACACACAGGGAACAATCCTTTTCTAAATCAATACAATTTTTCAAATTTATTTTTTTCTTAAAGAAGTACTTCTAATCTCTGTCAAAAGGGAGGTGAGGAAAGGTCCTCCCTCCCTTGTAAACACTGAAATACAGATCTGAGAAACCAGGGTCGACACACACAAAAAGTGCATTTTACAAAATATCAACTAAAATATATTTTACATGAATTATGCTTCCATTGAAATTCTACCAGCTGCATTTTCAGGTTCGAAAAAATATTTCCACATCTAAGAGATTTCAAAAGCATTTAAGTTCTGGGCAGCAGACCCTGCCCCCGAGGGAGGAGGGGCCTTGATCTCCTCTCCTGCTGAGTGAGGCTGGGCTCCTTGGCCGCAAGGGCCCAGCACCCTGGGAGTGAGCAAGCTCCCGGGCCGGCTCTCCAGAGCCCCCGCAGCCACTCTCTGCCAAGCTCTTTGACTGCCTCACTCCTTCCTCCAAACAGCTTATTCAATACAAGGGCACCCTCGTCCCTTCCCCTAGGGTTTGGGATTGGGCTTTCCATGTGTAAATTCACCTCTGAAGCCTCCAGGCCTCCCCCAAGCCCAGTGACCAATCAGGAGCAGCCTGTCTTCTCAGGGATAGCACAAGGCCTGGGGTTGCTGGGAGGGCCCTCGGGGTTCCGCTTTGACCTCCCTCTCCAGACCCAGCCTGACTGTCCGCACCCAGTGTCACCTCCTTAGCTTGAGCTGGGTCTGTGCCTGCCCCTTCCTAGAGGAGGAGGAGGAGGAGCACTGCCCTCCTTGGCTCCTGCCCCCAGGGTTGTGCCCCGAGTAAGTGCTAACAGCAGGGCCCAGACCACACGGTGCTCCTCTCCCCCTCCCCACCAATGCTCCTCTTTGGTACAAATAGGATAGAACGAGGCTGCTCCAGCCCCCTCACAGAGAGCCCCCGGGGGGGGGGGGGGCAGAGGCCTAGTCCTGGCAAGGACAACAGGGGGCCCAGCCTCCTAACCTACTCTGAGGAGCAGCATGAGGTGAAAACAGGGCCCCTGGGCAACAGGAACAAACTGAAAATGCAGGTCCTTAGCTCCTAGAGTGAGTGGCTGCAGCTCAGCAGGTCTGTGGACTGATACAGTGTTGATTCTCGCAGGGATGTAAATTAGTGCAATCTACAAAAGACCAGGGTAAGGGGTGGCAGGGCAAGGGGAGCCACAGCACTCCTTTGGTTTGATTTCAGGTGGGTGTGGCTTGAAGAGTCAGGTATGAAGTTCTGCAAGAGGTTTCCTACAACCTCCAAGTGTAAGGCAAGAGGAAAAGTCTTCAATAAATCAGGTAGCAATTTTCCTTGCCCCCTGCCCCCCACCCCCTCCCAGCTCCCTTCCGCCCTCCCAGACATGACAAACCCAATGTTGACCAGTTAGCTTCTGGGAAGCCAGACCTGCTGGATGGCCCTCACCAGGAGGCAGACAGGAAGCTGACGCCCACAAGTGGGCCACACCCATGACTGTTCCGCACTGGGTAACTTGTCCCAGCGGAGGGGCTACTGCAGGGGCAAAGGAGGAAGCCAGGGAAAGGCCCCGAGTCTAGAAAGAGAAAGTCTACGCTCTGGAAGCCAGACTCTGGCTCTCTCTGCCTCAAAGGAAGGAGCTCGGAGCTGTGCTAGAATCTGAGAGAGCCTGGTCCCAGGCTGATGGGGAAGCAGTGGGTCACAGTGGGTGAGGTAAAGCTGGCTCCCGCTCGCCTCCCCCCCTTGAAGGGCCCGGGGGGGGGGGGGCTAAAGAAGAGCCAGTTGGGCCTTATTCCTGAAGGACTCTCCCCTCCCCCCCAGGGTCCCATGCCCCTCAGGCTTGGCCCAGCCTCAGGGAAGACTGCTTCTTCAAGTCTCCACCCAGGCAACCACAGAGAGGTACTCTGGGCCAAGCTGAGGGCTGTGATGCTTTCCTTATACCCTGGCCTCCCCTTCCCTCCCAAGGGGCCCAGTACCCATAGGGGTCCCTGCCCTCCCCCCCAAGAGAACCACAGGCCAGCAGCCTCGAGCCCCTGTGGCCCCTTAACCAAGTGCTGTGCTTCAAGCAGTGCCCCCTGCCTCGGGCCCCACTTGCCCATGGGCAGGCCCAGTGTAGGCCTGAGGAGGCTACTGAGGGTTCTTGAGGATGCGGCCATGGCGGAAGTCATAGACATGGCGGCAAAGAAACACCAGCTCAGGGTCCGTGTCCTCGGGCACTGTGCGGTGTGGCGGGGTAGAGTAGTCTGCAGAGGGGGGCACCAGTGCTGTCTTTCGGCTGGGGAGGCCCTCGCCTCGGCGCTTGGCCATGGCACAGAATCTGCAGTGACACACACCATTTGCTGTCTTTACCGAAGCCGCCTCTGAAGGAAGATCAGCTCCTTCCCCACCCTGCCCAGAGAGCTGGGGCCTCCCCTCCCACCCCCACAAGGGCTGGTGCTGCCTCCATCCCTGGCCTGGGGGCTCTGGCCTCTCTGCCGATCGCCAGTCCATCTTCTCTGTCACTGGGGGAGCACATCTGCTGGGACCTCCCTCCCAACACCTGCCAATTCTCCTCAATGGTTCTCTGAGAGTACTGTAACCACTCCCAAACGCTGCCCCAACCATTCTGCCTCAGAGGAACAATTTTTCTTTCTTCTACAAACATCAGACGGTAGAAGAAGGCTGTGAGGTAGAACATTCTGGGAGGTCAGGCCCTGTGAAGGAAATCCTTTTGGGAGTCTCGGGCAGCCCCTAAACAGCCCTGGGGAGTCTGAGGGGAGAGGCTAGCCAGAGGGGCAGGCCAGCCAGTACCCACCTGCAGTACTCAGCAAAGGTCAGCACATAGCATTTCTCCTCAATGCAGGCCACACTATTCTGGTCCTGATGTCGCGATGCAAAGACTTCATTCTGCAGAGGCTCAAGGAGAGAGAGGGGGACGTTGGTACCAGGGTTGGAAGCACATAACTCCAGAAGCAAGGCCGACATTAACTCTTCTGTTGGGACTCCTGACCCGAGATAACTCCAGCCAGTGCCCAGAAAGCCAGGGAGCATCCCCCACCCCGGGGCACTCCTCCCAGGTCCCATCCTACTCAGGAATAGCCAGGGGCCTATCCAGCAACACCCCCCGCCCCATGTCATCAGCCTCCTGACCCCCACCCCCAGCCCAGGGGAGGAGAGGGGAAGTGGTGCCCATTTCCCCATGAGATGAAAGGTGCAGCAAGGGCAAGAAGTGCCGGGGAGCCTAGGCCAGGGGCCGAGGGACCACACCCGACAGCACTACCTCTCCTAGCACACTGCTCGGTAGCGTGCCCGGGGCTGTCCCGAGCCTCTTCTCTCCTCCCTCTCGGGCCACACACAGCGGCAAAGGGGGTTAGGGATGCGGCCCCACCTCCCCTCTCCTGGGGCCATGAGGACGTAGCCACGTGCTCCCATTCTCGCATGCCCTTGGGGGTCTTCCTTCCTGCTCCCCCTTTCAAGGAAAAGGTTACTATTCCCTTTGAAATGTGAATTGGGGCAGTGCTGCAAAAACAGGCTAAAACCCAGGCCCGTCTGTGGTGTCCAAGGTGACAATGACTTGACTGCCCGTGGCTGCCTCCCCATACCATGTTCTTGGTGCCACAACTTCTCCCTCCCACCCCTGCCCTCCCCGATACACTTGCCAGGCAACTCACCTCGTGCATGCTGGGACTGCGGCCTCCCTGTAAGTGCTCTGGTCTGTAATACCACAAGAGGCTCATCATCAGTTCTCCTAGGGGGACAGGAGAAGCAGTCATGGCTTGAACTGGCAACCCCAGAGTAACTCAGACAGGCAAGCAGGTTGGCTACCTGCCCAGGACGATCATCCAACTTCGATGCCTGGGCCAATCCTACAGGCTCAGCCACCCATATCCCCTGCCTCAGGCCAAGCCTGGCAATGCAGGGGCCTGGAATGCTGTCAGGCATGGAGGAAGAAGGGAGAAAAGGTACTGACAGGTGAGGTAGGGGGACAGGTACCCAGGTCCTGGTGGCCGGGAAGGTTCAAGAGCTGATCCGACCCAAACCACAAGGCCATCTTGTGGCCCTCAGCAGCAGACAGATGCCGGCTGAGGGGAAGGCAGCCTCCGTGCCAAGAACACGAGGAGACCAGTGCCAGGTGAGACTGCGGGCAGGGGATACCTGATTCAGGGTTCTCCCAAAGGGCAGAGATCTTGGCCACATAAGGTGTGGACGTCTTTCGTGGGCCTGACTTGAGAAGGACAGTGTCCCGGACTCGGATCGTCTCTCCATGCCGCTCCACCGCCTGGTAGCTCTTTCGGATGGCTGGTTCTGGCTCATCCTAAGCAACAAACCAACGACACAAAGGGGCTCATGAGGAGGGGAGGAAGGAGGGAGTGAGCGGAAGACATTCTCTGCGTGCTTTCCTCCGGGCAGTCAAACCACTGAGGATGGAATACTACAAAAGCAGTTTGCATAGTGGTCTCTTCTCCCTAAGCCTGGCTTTTAGGGCCGGGATAGGGGTGGGAGCTCCCCATGGCTGGAGAAAGGATAAAAAATAGGAACAGGGGTGGGAAAGTGGCCTAAAGCTTCTGGGGCTGTGCTGTGACCAACACAACCCAACAGCCAGTTCTCCTGCTCCAAGCCCCAACATTGAGAAGGTCCTCAAACCTCCTATTGGGGCAATTTGGTTTTGACCTTTAAACCACCACTGTAAAGTGGCACGGCCCTGGGCAAATTACTTAATCTACCGTTACACCTCAGTTTCCCCATCTGTGAAATGAGGACAGGAACGTGGGATACGCACCTCACAGGGTAGCGGTGAGGATGAAAACACCTTAGCTCGATAAAGTTTAGTCGATACTCTTTTCCTCAACCCAGATGTTCCTGGATCACTCATTTTCTCTGCCTGGCCCAATTTTCCCTACACATACACTTATCCAAAAAGCCTCTGGGACAGTCCTCCATTTTATAAGCCAGGACAGAAGAGACAGCGTGATCAAGGATGAGAGGTGAAGACACTTGAAATGGCTTCCCTAAGAGTCAGCGACAAGAGATGGCGGCCACCAGCCGCGACTGACTGTGCACCCCCTCACCTCCTCAAGGCCCGCGATACCGGACCAGCCGGGGCTAGGAGAGCAGGCTGGGCCAGCATGATCACCTCCCAGAGAAGCTAGAGCCAAGGGTTCCCGGGATCCCCTCACAGCAGGTCCTATGTCTCCACGGCCACCTTCCCCTTCCCCTGGCGCTAACAGCTGGCACTCACCAAGACATAGACAGCCTTTTCACACGCAGCCCCGACGGGCACCCAGCCATTAGTGCGGCGGCGGCGGCGGCGGCGTGGGCGCGGGCGCTGGACACGTGGTTGCTTGGGGTGGCTGGGCCTGCAGGCGGCCTTGCTTCTTGCCGTGTGCCTACAGCTGGAGCCTGTGCGCAGACCTGACTTGGAGCCGCTAGGAGGCTTGGCGCTCTGAGGGCACGCGCGGGCTACTGTCTGGGGCTCCGAGGTGGGTGTCTGAAGATGGGGGACGGGCTCTGCTGCAGGTGGCACGCTGGGCACAGGGCATCCCAGGAGGGGGTGGGCAGGTGAGGCAGGGTGGCCGGCTTCCGGGAGAGTAAATTCCAGCTGGCCCAGGGACCTGCAGCCTTCTGGGAAAAAGGAGAGAGGGGGTGAGGGCAGGTGAGGACGAGCAGTAACCTCACTGGTGCCCCTGCTTGCAGAGCCTGCTCCTGTCGTCATGCTGAGTGTGAAGCCGAAGGTCGGCGAGGTGGCAAGTGGAGTCAGGGGCCTTTAAGGTGGACCGTCAGAGTGACTGGCCAAGGGTGTTTCCTGCCCCTGGAGACTGGCCCACAGCCATCTCCATCTCCCCCTGCTAGCCTGAAAGAAGGGGGTGGGGGGTAATGGGAACACTGTCTCTAGCTCTGACTTAATCTCCTCCAGAGCTCCCACAGTGCTCAGGAGCAGGGGGGCCGAGATCAGCCTGGGATATGAGTCCCAGACCTGCCACTCACTGGCTGTGTGACCTCTGGCAAGCCACGCTACCTCTTAGTGCCCTGCAACAGAAGGAGGGGCGGCAACCATCATATGGGGGTCCTGGGTGTTTCTCTTACCAATGCCTCACATCAACCCTACGAGGTAAGTCCCATGACCACCATTCTATAATGAAGGAAACTGAGACACAGAGCAATTACTGGCTTGTCCCACGGTCACGTGTCTAATGAAGTGGGGGAGAACATTTCACTCCAGGCAGTCTGGCTCCAGAATCTGTACTCAATTACATGCCATGTGGCCTCCCACATGTAAAGCACTCGGAACAATACCTGGCACGTGGTGCTTACTGGGGTTCCAGGGCGAGGGGGCGGGGTCCTGGGTCCCACGGATGAGGGGTCTAGATTTGGGAGAGTGATGCAAAAAAGAAGGAAAAGCCCGAGCAGCAGCCTGATCTCATTTCTTAGAGCTCCAAGTCACGCCAAAACCTGAAACAACCAGTCTGGCCAGAGTCAACTGGTCTATAAAGTTGTTTTATAGACCCCTACCAGAAGGGGTGTGGGGTGGTGGCAGGGAGAGCCCTGGTAAGGCCTGGCCTCTCACTTCACCAGCAGCAGGGCAGACCTGCCAGACAGGATGGCTCTGGTCACCTCATTTCCACCCGGGAGCCAGGGACGGAGCCTGGAGAGGCATGGGAGGACACTTCTGCCAGTTTGGGGGAAGAGAGAGCCCCGTGGGGGGCTGTCCCACCAGCTGCAGTGGAAGCCTCTCAGGTGTCCGGGCCTTGCTACGAAGGCAGACACCAAAGCCCCAGGCCCTGTTAGCATCCTGCCTGTGTAGAGGACTCTGCCTGTCTGCTTTTGGCGTGTGCCCACGCTGTTAGCGCCTCGCAAGGTGAGGCTACGTCTGGGTACTACCTCCCCTTCAAGGCCTGTATGGCCAGGGCGAAGGAGTCCTCCTGTGGCTGGCACGGGGCCTGGTACCCACCGCCCTTCCCATGAATGCTGAACTGGGCCAGGACGTAGATGGAATGGGCTCCTGCAAGGTAGAATTCTAGCTCTCCTTGACGGAGGCAGAGGGACACAAGAGCAACTTGGCAAAAGCCCTATTTTCAACCTGTAACTTGCTACTCAAGAGTAGAAGAACGGGCACCCTGATGGGGACGGAGGGGTGGCTCTCCCTGCCCCCTCCACTACCACAATGCTACCTGCCACGCCAAGAAATCCCCATAGATAGTGGGGATAGGACAGAGCTAAGAGCTAGACACGGGCTCCTTTTCTAGGACTACTCCATGGTTTGGGGCGTGAAACTAGGGAGGCCTCCCTTCCCAAAGCCCCCGACCTCCCACGTAGTAGCTAGACCTCAAGGAGCCCCACGCCGATCCATGGCCCAGCCTGCTGCGACTGGACATCCCGCACCTAGGAAGGCTTACCTGCTGCAAAAGGCATTTTGTAGGGGCAGCCGCCGCAGGTAGTGCCGATGTGGGTAAGAGATGGGGGCAACATTTCACAGATGCTGTAGCCATTCACTCCAGTGTCCTCGCTAGAGCAGTAGCGAGAGCCCCAGGGTGGGTGCTGGAAAGGGGTGCCTGTGGGCACTGAGCTCGGTGCCAAGAGGAGCCCCTCGTTAGGTGCAGCCACTGGGGACAACTTGCCCTCGGGAAGCATGGGGCAGGGGGCGTAGCCTCCACACTGCAGCCCATCTTGGCTGCAGTAAAGGTAGAAGCTGCCTAGTGCAGTGAGCTCAGGTCGACCGCACAGGCCACTGTAGTGGGCAGGGTTGCCAGGCATCGGCAGGGGGGACAGCTGGGGTGTGGGGAAAGAAGGCTGGTGCAGTTCCTGCTTGGGGGCAGGTGACTCTTCACCTGGGCGCCCAGGCTCCGGCTTCAAGGCTGCCTGCCCGCCCATCAGCAGAGGCAGGTGGGGGCGTAGCCCCAAGGGACTCTCTAGAGCCTTGCTCAGGGGCTGGTAAGGTGGCTGGCTGGCTGGCCCCCGAGGGGTGGCGGATGGCCATGGCTCCTCGGGGTGCCTCTGCCAGCCGAGTGGGCCCACAGCTTCCCCAGAGCCAGGGCCCTGCTGGGCCTTGGGATAGTTCTTTCCATTGACCTTATTAGCCCACTTTGGCCTCGGAGCCCTCAGCGCCGGTGGCTCTGTGGAGCGCCCATCTGCTTCTGGGTGGGCACGAGGTGGCCTCAAGGGTAGCTCCCGCTCCTGGCTCAGCTTCAGGAAGGCAGCTGCATTCAGGCTGGCCAGTCTCTTGGGCGCTGGGTCACCATCTCGACGGGCACCCTCATCTGGTGCTGGCTCTGGGGACAGGTCCCGACTTCCTCCTCCAAGGTCCTCGAGCCGGGGCCGCTTCTTGGAGGAGGACCAGCCCCCCGCAGCCCGGTCCCGGCTGCGGTGAGAGTCACCCCCTCGGCTGCGACGGGTGCCCACCAGGCTGCTGGCATCCTCCCGCTCTAGCAGCAGGTTATTGAGGGCCTCTGCATTGAGGGAGGCCAGGCGCCTCTTGCGGGGCTGGGCAAGGCCAGGGTCCTCACTGGATGGGGCTGGGCTCGGGGGCTTGGGCAGGTCAGGGGGCAGCTCATCAGCCTCATCTGCACTCCGTGGACCAGCCACATTCTCCAGGCGGGTCAGCAGCACTTTGCAGGCCTTGGGCTTCTCAGGGACCAATGGGCGCTTACGCAGTGGGTAGTTCTTGCGGCGCCCAGTGAGGTGCCCCGGGCTCTCGGGCATGCCTGCTTCCACACTCTCTGCCCCCGGCTCCGTACCGCTGCCTTCCATCTGCAGGGGCTCCTGGCGGCCAGAGGGGCCCGAACTCAGCATGGGAAGGGACTTCCTCCGTGTGTGTGTCATGGGGTACTTCCAATCTGCAGGGCAGAAGGGAGAAGCCCACCGTGACCTGCCTGGCCTGCTTTCTCCTCTGCTGCAGCCCGTCCAGTGTCAATGCCCTCCCCCTTTGGTAACTCTGGCCTACCCTCACCCTATCTACAGCCTGGATTTTCCCAAGACCCCTCTTCCAGAGTGCAAAGGTCCAGTGGGGTCAAGATACCAACAGCTGTGCAAGGACTGGCTGCCCCACTCTTCTTTTAGCCTAGGGTCCTTCTCTGAACTAAGCCCTTCAACAGCCTATGGAAGGACGCAGGCCCTGGGGTCAGAAGACAGAAGGCGTTGGGGGCAAGGTTCTCAGTTCTTCACCTGTCCTTCTCCCGCGAGATACTTATCACAGGTCAGGAAGAGGCTCTGAAGACACCAAGCCAGGATGGGGCTGGGGTGGTGGGAGCCCAGCTGCTCCTTCAATAACATTAGCAACCCTTCCCCCATCTTGGGGCTTCTGAGATTGGCCACAGGAAGATAAGGACAGAGACAGTGAGGAGCTAAGGTGAGGAACCCGCCTGCTGGGCTGTAGAGAAAAACAAAGTCCAGCCTGTGGGGACACCCTGCCTGGCACGTACAGCAGGACAGCCATAACCTGGGTCTTGCTGGAAAAGCCCCCTGAAGGGAAAGGCCTGGCTGTGAGGAGTCCAGGGTCAGGGGAGGTCTCAGCCAGGCCCAGGAGCCAGCATTCCTGGGTCGGAACCCCACGCAACAGCCTCTAAGGGTTAGGGAAATAAAGCATCAAAGACAAGAACTAACTGGAGACAAACCGACAAGCCAAACCTGGGCTGCCTTGCTAGCCCTGCCCTGTTTCTCAGGTCTCCCTCCCGGTAGGCAAGATGCCAGGCAGAGAAGAGGCCTGGGGGGTGGGGCATGGCAGGAAGCCCAAACCCCTGGACAGAAAATGCCCACGACCAGGCAGCATCCCCTAACTCTGCTCAGCAAATACTCTCCCTGCCCCCAACATACCTGGGGCAGCCTGGGCCCCGTCCTGAATGAGAGGCCAGAGCTGGGCTGTAACCTGGAAGCTGGCATGGCCAAGGCAATGAACTGGCAGGGGTGGGGGGGTGGAGGCGTCAGTGTCAGTGGTCTGAGACGACTGAGCTGTTCACTCCCTACCTACTCCCCAGTCCAAAGCAAGGTGCTGCCAAACAAGGTGCCAGACAAGGCTCTGCCCTCCCAGGCACCCTGCAGCCCCCTCCCCACCCAGCAGGCCCAGGCCTTCCAGCCTGATTTCTCCACTGCTGTTGTTATTCATACTCCCTCTCCCAGAGAGGCTGGGAGCAGTCCCTGCTGGGCCAGGATTTAACCCTGAAAGCCCCAAGCCTGAAGGCTCCCAGGAATTCCTGAGCCCTTCCCAGCTAGCTCCTGTGGCTGTGGGCCAGTGGCTGGGGTCACTGGGTACCTTCTCTCCCCACACACACTGTACTAGTTGAGAAAGAGTTCGGAAAACCAGGCTGAGAGCATCGTGGGTGTCAGGCTCAGAAAGGACTCGGAAAACTGGAAAAGGGAGGCACCGTGCCAGGCATAGCTCTGGCCATGTGCTGGGCCCTGCCACTGCCCAGAGACCAGGCTGGGGCAAGACAGAGGCACAGGAGGCAAACCCATTCCTCCCTGAAGCACAGATAGAGGAGAGCTCCTAAAAAATCCCAGGTGTCTGCTAGGCTCCCTAACACTGCCCCCCCCACCCCCCCATGCAGGGTGGCCCCCCATTCCTGTTTGCTCAGCAGGCTTATTAGCAATGCCTCCTTGCACTCCGAAAAAGCATCCTTTACAATCCACAGGCCCTTTTCTCAAACGCGGGGCACCCCGGTGCTGGAGGAGGAGCCCCAACAAGAAGCACATCTGTATTTCCTAGGAAAGCCTAGGCCCAGCCCTTCCCCACCCCCAAAGGGCCTGGAGACAGAGGATCCGTGAACAGACCACAGACCGCACAGCTGAGCAAGAGCTGAAGCCCCTCAACAGGCCCCAAGTTACCAGAGGAGTCAGGCCTGGGAATGGCTGGGGGCCAAGGCTGAGGTCACCTGGGCTTGTGGCCTTTAAGGACATGGACACCAAGTACAGAGCAAGGAAGGGCCAGATGGGAAAGAGAGTGAGCTCAGGGAGGTGCTTGCAAGCCTGGCAAGCAAAAGCACTCGGAGTGGAGGGCTGACTGGCCTGTCCCGTAGTTGCCCCCCCATGCCCCCAGTTTGCTGGTGGACCAGCTGCAAGGGTGGACTCTGGGATACTGGTCCCACCCTCTCAGACTCCTCCTCTCCACATGCAAAATGTCCCAACAGGGAGAGGCTGGGAGGGGAGCCTGTCCCCTGAACTTGGGGACGTGTTCCCTATAGTGTCTTCCTCTTTTACCTCCCATTCAGCTCTCCAGTCCCTCAGGGACACCCACTGTCCCCAGATCCCAGAAGTCTGTAAATCACAGGGTGCATGTCACATTTCCAAATCAAGCCCAAGAGCTTCCTGCTAGCTTCTCCTGAATCCACCGAACCCCTTGTCACCAGCAAGAGAACTCCTTTCATGTGGTACCTAAGGCAGCAATGTCACTCACCGTCCTGAGGAGAGGCTGGGGTCTCTGCCGCCTGCCTCGCGGTACTCCCATCTGAGGGGAGCGAGTATGAGTCATGCTTTGAAGCCAGACTTGTGAGAACTTCAGATGCAGCTTTTCCCTGGGGTCGGGCTGGGTGCAGGGGGCTCCCAGACTGCCAGACCCCTCTAACCTGCAGGGGTGGCCCAGCTCAGTGGGGGGCGGCAGGGGGAAAGCCTGGGAAAGCAGGAGGCGTGGTGCCCATTCCAGCTGGGCCAATCCTCCTGCTGTCCTGTCTCCACACACTAGCCCAACCAGGAACTTCCTACCACTGCCGAGAGACAAGGGTGCGTGGGTTCTCTCAGCACCACCCTTTTCTCGGGGAAGCCCTGCCCTCCCAGGCATAGGTAGTCCGGTCCCCTCGGGAGAAGGTTCCTAGGAGGGACTCCCCAGGGCATATCACTGCTCACCTAGACTGTGTCAAGTTAGCTCGCACTGAAGAAAACCAGTCTGACTGTCCCCAGCTCTGATGAGCAAACAGCCAGCTGCCATGAAGGACGGTGGCCGGCCGGTGTCCTCCACGCCAGAGACCCAGCAAACCACAGGCTGAATCCAAAATCACAAGTGTATTCCAAACACAGCAAACAGGCCGTCACAGGCCCAGGCACTGTGGGTCACGAAATTGAGGGGGAGAGCAGGCCCAGCAGGCCCAGCTGAAGCGTCGATATCCTGCGTCCCACGTCTGTCCAGGGCTAGGAGTCCTCCCCACACAGGAGCAGAAAGGGAGGGAGGACTTGGCTTTTGCCCTCAGGCTGCAGCAGCATCACGCACGGGGCCCACTCTCACAGGCAGACACACCCCAGCGGCTGTGTGCAAGGGAGGGTCAGAGGCCTGGGGAGTGTGGGCTCTGGGCAGCACTGAAGGGAACACCAGGGGGTCAAGCCCAGATCACTCCTGTAAGCAGGGGCTGCCCTGGGGCAGGAAGACGTTGGCCACAGCTCTCCCCCCACCCCTCATTTACTCAGCTCTAGACTGTACACCCACCTCCATTCTCAGGGGTTCAGGACCCAGGGCTCTGCCCCACTACCCTTCCTGAAACCTCTCTTACCCACTGCGCTTTAAATTCTGCTTTTCAGGCTTTTTGGTTTATTTTTCATAGGAGGAAAGTATTCAGGGGGGTCTCAGGCAAAGGCAGACCAGGTAGTCACCTGGGTGAGGGTCAGGAAGGGCCCGGACCCAAGCCGCCTCCCTCGATGATACCCAAAGTCACACAACTGGCACTGAGTTAAGCACTGCCTTCCTGTGCACGCTCTCTTGGCGTAACGTCCCCCCAAAGGAATAAGAGCTCTTCACGAGCACTGAGCTTCTTAAATCTCCTATCAGAGAAGAAACGCAGCAAGACCACAAAGGCAGGCTCCTGTTCATTTAAATGTAGTTGGTGCTACTTCATGAAGCTGCTGAAACTCTTATGATAAAGCCAGGTTCAGCCACGGCTGTTATCTCTTGAATCCCCCCCACGCTGGTAAACTGGAAAGAAGCCAGCCTTGGAGGGAGGCAGCCCCACATTTGCAAGCCAGCTCTGCCCCTGGTAAACAGCTTAACTTCCCTGAACTTCAGACTCCTCATCTCAAACGGATACATCAGAAGGAACTTACTTAGAGTGGTGGTGAGGATGACAGGAGTCTCCGCACAGGCAGGCTAGCAGATGCCCCCACCCTGCCTTCCGGACCCACAGACAGAGGAGGGCAGTGTGCCCTTGGCTTGGGGGGTTCCCCACATCAGGGGCCTGGAGCCATGGGGGCTGTGAGAAATCGGAAAACTCAGCCTGCACCTGAACTCTGCTCTGCTTGTATTCTACTAAAGACACCCAAGTGTCAAACCCAGAGAAAGATGGAGACACTGGGGGCGGGGGGAGGGACTCATGGGGGGCTCTGTTTACAACACGAGAGGACAGGGGCATAAACTATACCCCAACAAACCCTGAACAACAGCTCCATGCCTCTGGGAAATACCCAGCTGGATGGTGAAAGGCCCAGGGGATGGGGTCAGGAGGCGTGCGTTTGCCAGCTCCCGCCGCCGTGGGACTGCTGCTTCAGCATGAGCACCCACAGACAGTAGAAGTGCCCAAGCCTCCAGGGTGCTGCCCCCAAAGAGAAAGCAGTGGCCTTGGCCACTGGCCCCGCCTCACCGACTGTGGGCACCTAATTCACTCTGTAGTCAGGCTGGGATCCTACAACACTTGGGCAGGAAGCACCCACGCCACCAGAGGGAACTGGCCCGACCCGTCTGGAAACAGCTTGTTTTATGGAGTGCTTTTGGGTCTGGTGGCCATCTGAGGAGCTGGGTCCGTCCTTGGAGGCACCAAGCTGATCTATGGCCTGTCAGACTACCTGCTCTTCCCACTTCACACTCGAGGCCCTCAAGGAGCCCAGAGAGGTGGCAGCACCCCGGCAGCAAACGTTCACACCCACGCCATGTTGCGTCTGGTACCTCGGCTGGCCCGGCCCCCGGCCCCCATCTTGGCTGCTCCTGTCTGCTATGACCATCCCAGCAGGAGGGTCCACACACACAGGCCCAGAGCTGCACCCAAGTATCCAGAACCCCACTTACTTCTGGCTTCAGACGCAAAGCCGGACAGCCTGCCTCTTGTTACTGTAAAGGAACACAAATCTCAGTGGGGAGGAAGGGGAGTTCTGAGTCAAACTGTAAAGGGACTCCGATTTTATATGAGAATTGCCGTAACAGAAGAGCCGAAGGAATCTCCTCACTAGAAATTGCCAGTGCCCTGGTTGCGGGGCAAGGCAGGGGCTGACAGTGAGAGAGACAGTGTACCCCTAGGATCTAGAAGTCAACATACACACGTGGACCACCGAACGAGGATACTGGGCAGAGGGGATTGTATTTTAGTCATACCATGGTGCTCTGCTTTAAGAAACTCTAACCTGGGTGCCTCAGTTGGTTAAGTGACTGCCTTTGGCTCAGGTCATGATCCCAGGGTCCTGGGACCGAGTCCCACATCGGGCTCCCTGCTCGGCCTGCTTCTCCCTCTGACCCTCTCATGCTGTTTCTCTCTCTCTCAAATAAATAAATAAAATCTTAAAAAAAAAAAAAAAGAAAAGAAAAGAAACTCTAACCTGACAAATCAGAAGGTAATCACATGCAATGCAAAACTAGTTTGTAGAGGGTTTCCTTAAAGGCACACGTACGCTCGTGAGGTGATATGCCTTCCCCAGCTTCTTCCTGGTGCACACCCCCTGTGCACACAAGGTAGACCCGCATCCGCAGGTGCCAGTCCAGCTAAGCCAGAGTATCTGCTGCTCATTCCCAGGCACACAGCATCTCTTGTGACCTTACTCATTCAGCCAACACTGGCTGACCTCTCACCGTGGCTCAACACAGCAGATGTGAGACCCGCAGCTGCTAGAAGCCACCTCATGCTGCCGCTGATCCTAAGTGGGGCTGGTTAACAGCCTGAACTTCTCTAAGCCTTGGTGTTCTTGTCTACACAGCAAAGCTGTTATGACGATCAAGTTAAATGAGAATGTATGCCTAGCAGAATACCTGGGATACAAAAGGTGCTCAATACAAGCTCACTCTTTTCCCCTGTATGTCAAGTATGAGGCTAAATGCTGAGGAAAAATGCCAAAGAGACGAAAAAATTGGGGCTTGGACTGGTAGGGAGAAAGAGAACGAGACAGCATGACAAGGACTGTAACAGGGTGCTTGGGGCTTGGCGTGGGGACCTCTGGCTCCACAGCAGCTTCACGGAGGCCAAATCGGATCTGGGTCTGCATTTTGACACTGGCCCAGGGCCTGCCTCCTGCTGGGCAGACACAGGGAGGGAACAACAGCCCGGGAACTTTGCTTCATAAATATCTGGATGTAGGAAGGAGCAACAGACCAAAGTTGAAGTTCTTGAGGCAGGAGACAAATGCAACCGTTCCCAGACTCACCTTTAGGAGCTCCATGTAAGATTACTCCAGCCTGGGGGACAAGAGAGTTCCAGGCTAAGGCTCCCTCACACCTGCCCACCCACACTCCACAGTGCCCAGGCTGGGCCGGAAGCACATCTACTCTTGGAGCAGGACCCGTTTGCTCCGGGCAGTTAACAGTGGGGGAGAAATCAAAAGGAACAGAGACAGGGCACCCCCAAAGCTCAGCAACAGGCCCTCCAAAGCTCAGCAACAGGCCCTCCACAAAACCAACAGGAAATGTCATGCTTCTGACACACAATTCTTCAAAAAACACAATAGCTCATCAGCCTGCTCCAGACACTTGCCCAGGAGAGCAAAGAATATGTGTTGTTTCAACCACCAGGACACTGCAGGAACCAACAACTTAGATTTCTAAGATGGTCTGCCAAGCCTGGAGGTGCTATCTCTTGTCCTGAACAGAAAAAACTGGCTGGCCAGGCCAAGCTGGGAGCTCTGCCCTCAGACTCCCTGGTGGAGGGCTCACCTCATGAGTGAGCCAGCAACAAAGAACAAGACCCAAGACCAGGCCTTCGCAACACTCCACCAGCACAGCCAGAACCACAAGGCAAACCCTACTAGAGTTTCGGGGACCCAACACAAATACCTCACAGGTAACTAATTAACTAAGTGATTAGTACCACCCTCATTAGGATGCAAGCTCCATGGGGACAGGTGGGCTCTGCCTGCCTTAGCACTAAATCTCACCCACAGGGCTTAATAAGAGCTTGCTGAATGAACAAAGATCTGGCTGCCCACCTGCTCCACCCCATTTAACATTTCTATTCTAGACTGATGGCATCACTTGGGAACTCTGACTCCCCCCCAACTCTCCCCAACTCCCAGGAGTCCGCTGTGCCTCTTCAGTGTGATCAACAGCTCAACAGGGCTACTTGAGGGTAACCTCGTGTATTTATGTAGCACCACCCTCTTCCACTACCATGCTCTTCCCTCTCTCTCCCAATCTGCCCAGCTATACCTCAGGAAAATGCTCCTCTCGTTCCACCTCTTACTCAAGTACTGAGCCAGCAGGGGCGGAACTGGAGGCACACCTGTATCGAGACAAAGAATGTCACAGACATTCAGGGGAACTCAGCCGCAAAGAACCAGTGGTATCAGTCCCCGAATCTCTGAAGTGTGCAGGGTAGGGAATACTTGATTCACCGCCGAGGCTTCTAGTCTAACAGGATGGCTAATGTTTGTCAAGCACTCACTATGTGCACAGCACCACCCTCAACGTGTGACATTCACTTTCATTTATCCTCACAATGTATCCTCACATAAGGGGGTTGTCACCATCTCATCCAAACAAGGAGAAAACAGGTACACAGGGGTAAAAGAACTTGCCCACACTCCCGTGCTGCGGAGGGTAGAGGCGGGGCAGGTGGGGTCAGTCCCGAAGCCCATACCCCCACTGCAACACAGGACAGCTGGCTGGCTCACGGACCAACGTTCCAGATCAACTTGCACAGTCAATTTCACATTTTCTGTATTGTTTTAATTGTTGGTATGAACTTCTTAGCCATTTTTCCTGATTTGACATCACAAAGGAACCGAAGATGTACTCCAATGAGATGGCGCGGCGGGCCAGAGAACATACACATACTTTTACAAATTGTTTCTACAGCAAAGTCTGCTCAGAGTCCCCAGTCAACTCTCATATGCGCTTTGGGAAGAGATCCATTTCATATCCTAGGAAGGGGTAAAGGGCTTCGAAGGGATGTTGTCTTGATTTTACAATAAATCCAAGAGAAGGCTATAGACGGCTCCCACACATCTCACCACATCTCTTGAACCAGATGCAATCTCCCTCCGGCGCAAACTGCAAAAAAGACTGACATGTGCTCAGCCATCTTAATATTCAAAGATGTATTAACTGCCCCATGGCTACCTCTCTTTGGGCTGAGTAAATCTAAGTCCTTTCAATTTTCTCTGAAGATCATGTCTTATAGTCATTTAATCTACTTTATAATTCTTTTCTCCGTCCTGTGGAATCTGTGTGAACCCCTCCAGGCACACGGCAGGAGACACCCCTCACTTCTTGAGGAGGGCCTGCCAACTCTGACTCTAGTAGGAATGTGACTCCATCTGCCCTTCTGGCATACCTGTTAGGGTATCCTGGCATCAAACAGCACCCTAACACCTTTCCCATGATTTCTACAAGGATCCTCTAAACCTTAATAATTCACCTCTAAACCACCTGGCCAGACGAGAATGTGATTAACAAACTGAATCTCCCTCCCTCCCCCGCCCATATTAGACAGCGAGGCTCAAATTGGAGAAGGACCCAAGGGTGGGCCACCCCTCTCCTCTGCAGGCAGGAAACTGAAAACAGCCTCATGGGAGGACTGGGGGGTGGATGGGTGGGGGGTAGGGCGGCAGCAAACAGGAGTCAGAGACGGAAAGGAAAGAGAAGCAGCCACCACCACTCCAGGTGAGAACCTGGGGTCACAAAAGGCAGAAGCATACCTTAAGGTCCCACCTCCTGAACCAAGGGCAGGGGGTCAAAGCACCTTGTCCCCCCAAACCCACTGGAAAAGAAACGGATGTGAAAAAAAGATGTAGACACCAAGTTTCTGCCTGGCACTGATCCTGTTAACTACGAGGAGTCACTTATCATTTCTTCCGTTCAGGTAACTTGGTCACGGTGCCTCGGAAAAAAAAAAATTCCCATTTCAAATCTCAGAAAGGCTCAGAGACAAACCCATTTGTTTATTCCTGGTGGATCAGGCCTGCAGAGGCTCTCAAGGACAATGTTTTTTGTTTTCTTGTAGGACGCTGAGTCAGGTGAATAACCAACCATCCTCTGCAGGTGTTTCCCACTGGGAAAAATGGAATCTGCACAAAAATCCTTCCCAGGACACAATACAAAGTCCTGGACATGACTTTGCCCCGAGGCCTGCTCAGCAAACCCACAGTCCTCTGGTCCTGAGCAGCTACAGCACATGGCCTAGGGCAGGGCACCAATTCTGCCACTGGAAGCCCTGGGCCTGCAGCCGCTGCTCAGCTTGGTAAAGCCGCAAAGCCGAGGGGGAGACTGGAGCTCCGTGGAGCTGAGGGGGCTTGTCCGGCCAGCCGTCTGCCCCGGAGCAGGCCTCTGCAGCCTCTTCCTCCTCCTCCCTGTTAGCCGGTTTACTGCTCATTAGTGGTACTACCAGGAGGTGGGCAGGGGAAACATAAAGGAGCTGAAATTCAAACCGGCCCATTTTATTCCAGTGAGGTGCCTCCCATAAAACCAGGCAGGATTTCATCCATCAAGATCTCCCTGGACCCCTGACCTGGGGAGGTCGAAGCAGCCCAGAGGGTGAGGAGCTGCAGAATCTCAGGGCCCAGGGCATCAGGAGCCTCCGTTTCTAATCTTCACGAGTTCTTGAATATTCTCTGTATTTCCTGCCTTTTCAACGTTAACAGGCACTCTAGCCATGAGCTGGCCCATCTGGTCAAGGCCATGGACCCAGAAGTGCAGAAGTGCTGGGGCTGCCCTCGGTATCGAACGAAGCACTCTCCTTGTCCCTCCGAAGTCCCCCGCACAATGGCAAGTTCACAAAGGAAGTGAGTCTTGCCAGACTGTGCTAGCAAATTCCCATAAATACTTGGGCCAGGGTAGTACTGCTTATGTAAAATGCTTCCCCATTGAGAGATGCTGCTTTATTTACATTCTTCACAACCCATTCATAAAAAGGAGGCCCTTTAATGTTGGGGCTGTTCATATAATGCTCCATAAACCCAGCAGCTTCGGCTGGCAGCCTTAGTTCAACACTGACTACTTCTCAACTCCAGAGACTTTTCCCCTTAAGATTTTTTTTTCTGTAATGACTCACCTTGCACAGGGCACTGAGGCCAGATGTTGCTGAAGCAAGGCCAAGAGGAGTTAAGGACAGATAAAATGAAAACACACAGGTCCTCCCAAATGCTAGGATAGAGAGGTTGGAAGAGACGACAATCAATAAATTGAAAATCCCCATACAACTTCAATGTGAAGTATGTATGTTGGGAGGCTGAATTCCTTCCA